TACAGGAGGAAATCCAGGCTGTGCTGGGAATCCAGGCTGTCCTGGGAATCCAGGCTGTGCCGGGAATCCAGGCTGGGGTTGAAAGCCTAGTTGTGGAGCAAACGCAGGCTGAGCAGGAAAAGCTGACTGTGCAGGAAATAAAATACGAAAAGAAACCACTTTGTTATCACTGTTCTATCATATTCTTGATTATTTATCAGGTTTAAGATTATTCAAACATGAGCACAAATACACAACCAACTATGCTGCTATATTATTTATGCATTTCAAATAAACAGCCAATAAATTGTGTAAACTTCCTCACCACAGGGCTCTGAAAAGCAATGGAAGAAATTTCCACTTTTCCACCCACTGCGATGGTGTCAACCTGGTGAAATGGCAGGCGATGTCTGTACTCCATAAAGTGGGAGCCATTGATGCTGAGCTGGTAATAGTACATATGGAATTAAATTTGTGTCTTATTGTCCGAACAGTAAAAACTATTTTTGCACAACAATAGATTTTTGAGAAAGAATCACAAAGAAGAGTATTTTAAGAAATTCTAGTTTTTTAAATAAAACTTTCAATACAATAAATAGATGTTTATGATATGAATGATCTGCTCTACACTTAAATAAACACACAAATACAGTAAAATGAAATGTCTTATCTATTTATTTATTTACATAACTGAGTAGATCATATTAAAATGTTTAGGACCTGACCTGGTAGAAGTCCCGGGTGACAGCAATGACAAGAGTGAAAGAGGACCCAGCAGGAAATGGGGAGTTGTACTTCCTCTCTTCAGTGCCCCAGGTCCCATTCTGGCAAGAGTTGGTCACCACATAATGCTGACTTTCATAGCGTGGGTTAATGTGGATAGCAATGTCCGCACCAGCCCTGGAACCACACTGTAGATTCACATGGAACCTGTGAGTAAGAAAGTGAATAAGAAGGAATATATGGGTGTATTATGTGATTATATTCACAGACAACTAATGAGTATAAGTTGTAATTTTGAAGTTTTAGGAGTTTTTAAATGACTGTAGTGAGTAAAGAACTACAAATTAACAAAAAATATTCCTTACAGTGGGGCAATGATCTACTGATTAATTTGTAAGTTACAAAGAAATGAACAGTCTGTACTTTTTATTTTACTGGAGAGAAAAAGAATAAGATCTTAAGATGCAGAAAAAAACATAATACATTAATATGACGTAGTAAACCTTTTCTGCTTTTCTGTTCATCCAAACATGGCAGGTTAAGATAATGCTAAAGAACCTCATTTTATTTTGATGTGAGCACAGCACTTTCTCCTGTGCCTTGTCAGATGTTGACTGGCAAACTTAAGTTGGCCCTGTGCAGTGCCTTTGAACAGGGGGGTCGCCCAAGCAACTGCATTGTGAGGTCTGTGGACAACACCACAGTGGTCAGGCTAACCGCAGGGGGATAACGACACTTTCTCTTATTCAGAATCATGTATAATTATAGGTTGGTGACACATGTTTTTATCTTCCACATTCCTGCGGTCCCACACAAGGTCATGGTCTGTGTAAAGATTGACCTGACACACTGGTATGTTGTTTACGTTTGAGGAGCATTTATTGCAATAGCACATATGTAACATTTATATGGTTTGGCACCCACTCCACCAGCTTTCCAGCTGGTCTCCCGCCCACCCCTTCTGTTGGCTCACACTTCGCTATATATCAGGGAGAAACCTCATTAGTTGATTCTAGAGATGGACCGATCCGATATTACGTATCGGTATCGGTCCGATACTGAAGCAAATTACTGGATCGGATATCGGCGAGAAATAAAAAATGTAATCCGATCCATTAAATATCAAAAAAGCACCTCACAAAACTTGCTACACGGCGTAACTCGGCTCATAACCGTAGCACGTCGGAGCAGTGTGCATCACATGATAGAGCGGCTGTGTGTATTTGTAGCCTGGCTAGCAAACCGGCATTTCATCTCTGAGAAAGTTTTCCCAGAGAGAAGTAAAGCAAGTGTGTACGTTCATCTCTGAATGTTTGTAAAGCATTTTAGTGTTAAGCTTAACAACTGATATATGGAGCGACTGCCTCTCTCTCTCTCTCTCTCTCCTGCTGCTACTTCAATC